CAACACTACTGATAGGAACACTATTTTAAATTTGGGAGATGAAGCTAAAAGGTAGCTGGAATAGTATAATTTTAAACTTTTTGCTTTTTAATTAGTACATACATAACATTACACCACCTTTTTGTAGCTGCAATCTCAAAACAGTTTATAAAAGTGAGTAAGCATTGCTTCCATTTCTTAGATTAATAGGCAAGAGAACGGTTAAAAATAGCATCCTAATTCCAATAGGATAAGCACATTTTTTATATTGAATTAAAACATAAAAATCTAACAGTAAAAGTGAGAAGAATAGAACATTTCTGGAAAGGAATTCTTTCCAAATTGGACAAAAATTGTATTAAGTCATTTATTTTTCATTGGATCTTCCATCCTGCTTCATAGTGAAATAAAAATAAATGGATTCTGAAAGCTTCCTTTCTGACTTGTTTAATGGAGGTTTTGTCTGGATAACTACTCTTATAGTTTGTTCAGACTTGCATTATTACCTGATTTCAGAACACATCTTCCCTTTGTTTGCTGTCTTTCTACATCAGTAAACTGTTGACTTATTGGATTGGTGGGTTTTTTTCTCTATTCAAATTGTAATTTTGACGCTTCTTGCCATATTTGGTTTTCATCACGGTGATATGCCATGGTGATTTTTTTCTTTTTAACTTTAGTGTAGTGTGCCATTTAGCTCATTACATCACACTACCTGAATTTTTTCCTTTAGGAGAAATTTTTATATCAGAGAAGAAAAATGGCCCAGTGGCTACAATAATTGCCCATACTAGTGGACCTATTCTAGAAGTGATATTGAACAGTGATCCTGATCTACTCTGCCTGATGTGAGGCGACCCCAGAATACCTTGAACCAAGGACCAGCATTAAGCTCACGTGGGGGCAAACTTGGGATTTAATGTTATTTCTATATCTATGGAGGATTCTGCATGGTCTTGCGAAGTTGATGTTGTTGAGGTCTCAACACCATGTGTTCCATGTGTTTGTGCTTTCCTCATCCAGTATTTGCTGAAGCTCTTCATGCCCAGGACCCAAGGAGGCTAAGCTTTATGGAAGCTGATTAACAAATGCTGCCTGTAATCAAAGTCCTATGTATTCTGCAGAATATGTCGAGGACTTAAGTTCTGTCAAAGATATAAAAACACAAGCCTTCTGTTACTGGTTATATTAGCCAAGTATAGACATTCATTTTCTCCTGGGAGAGTTGCTGCTCTCCCAGGAGAAGCCATGAGTTTATGGATGTTCAGGATTTTTTTTCCAGAACAAAAATGGCTTTTCCAAGAAAAAAATAACATGGAAACAGCCAGGGTTAGATCAATCTTGGGAGAGTTTCCCCTAGGAGAGCAAGTGCCAGTACAGCTTACTCTTTTGAGAGAAGCCAGAGCACAATCCACCAGCATCCCAGGGTGTGCTAGACAGCCCTTCCTTCCCTTCCCCCAAGACGGTGTGTCGCTCGAGCCAGATTCTACTGCCCAAGCCGAACAGGGAACAGAACACGCCCACTTCACAATGCCAAATTACGCTGCTGGGTGACAGGCTGATTGAGCAGTTTGTCAGCCAGTCAGGGCTATGCTATTCACTGCTGCTGTCTTATTTCCATGCAGACTTGAGGGAGTCTGTAGAGCATGCTAAGATGTGTGCACAGGGCCCCTCTGGCTGTATAGCATCAGTACTGAAGCTCTCTCTTCTTCAAGGGTTCATCATTCAAGTGCACATCAGACCTCTGTTTAGGTACCTCCTGCTAAGGCTTTCTACCAGGAGAACAAACCCCAGATAATTTTCCCAGGTCCTTTGAATATGTAATAAGACAGGCTATGAAAGAGTTTGGAGGAGAAACTTGCTAGAGACACAGAAGATGGTAATTTTTTATTATTACCTTCAAATAATAATAAAAAATTCAAAGACCTGCCAGGGGAGTGAGTCAGGCCTTCAAATGATCAGGATGTAAAAGGGGTGCTAAAAAATGAGTCGTCCATTGCTAAGAAACTAAATGCATTATTTGCATCTGTCTTCCTTATGAAAGATGTTAGAAAGGTTCCCTCACCAGATTCACTATTCTCTAGGGACAAGTCAGTGGAGTTGACCTAATTTGAAGTCTCAGAAGATGAACTCATAGAGGAAATTGATAAATTAAGCAGTAGCAAATCACCAGGATTTGAGAGCATTCACCCTAGGGTCCTAAAGGAGCTCAGATCAAAAATTACAAGACTCCAAAGTATAGTATGCAATCTATCAGTAAAAACAGCCTTGGTAGCAGAGAACTTGAGGCTTGCCAGTGTGACTCATATTTTTAAAAAAGCTCTAGAGGGAACACAGAACTACAGGCCAGTAAATCTAACTTTTGTTCCTGGAAAACTGATAGAAACAATAATAATAAAAAAAGAATTGTTCAGCACATAGACACGCATGACTTGCTGGGGAGAAATCAACATGGTTTTGTTAAAGGAAAATCATGCCTCACCAACCTATTACAGTTCTTTGAAGGTGTCAGTAAGCAGGTAGATCGGGGCGATCCAGTTGACCTAGTATTTCTAGACTTCCAGAAAGCTTTTGACAAGATTCCCCATCAGAGGGTCTTAAGAAAGGACTACAGGGAAGGTACACTCATAAATTTGTTTTCTATGTTTACACCTATTTCTAATGGTGAGTATAAATGGTCAGATTTCAGGATGGAAATAAGTAAACAGCAGGGTCTCCCAGGGATCTGTGTCAAGACTAGCGCTGCTTAACATGTTCATAAAAGATCTGGAAAAGCAGGTGAGTAGTGAGGTGGCCAAATTTGTGAATGCCAAAATTATTCAAAGTGGTAAAGACCAAGGCAGACTGTGAGGAACTATAGAAGGATCTGACACACATTGAATACTGTGCCCAGTTCTAGTCCCCACTCAAAAAGGATATAAAAGAACTAACGAAAATACTGAGAAGAGTAATAAGGATGATTAGTGGTGTGAAGGGGCTTCTGTGTGAGGAGAAACTAAAAAGGCTAGGCCTATTCAGTTTGGCAAAAAAGGATGCTTGAGGTGGGATACGATAAGGGTTTACAAAATACTAAATGGTGAAGAGAAAGTCAGTAGTGGTTTATTATTTACTCTCTCTTTACGCTACATGAACTAGGGGTCATAAATAAAACAAGTAGGTAGCAAGTTTAAAACTAACAAAAGGACGCTTTTTTTACACAGCATGTAAGTAAAGTGTGGAACTCGTTGCCACCAGATAGATGTGGAAGCTGACAGTTTAACTAGATTCCAAAAAGGGATTCGACAAATTCTTGGAGGAAAGGGGCATCTGTGGCAATTAAACGTGGGAGTTAGGGATATAGCCTCTGAACTGCAACACCCTGGACTTCTAAATGCTGGAGGCTGCAAGTTAGAGAGGAACAGTGGAAAACCCCCTGGTCATATCCAGTTTTTCAGTCTGCCTTTCCGCATCTGCTCTCTACCACTATGTATGTGACTTGTTATTAGGCAAGATGCACCTATGGTTTGACCCAATAAATGGTAGTGGTTTTTTTTTTTTATCTGTGGCAACTGTGAAAGCAATTTTGTGTTTTCCTTTCCAGCATGCCAAAAGCATGGGTCTTTACCTCCCCACAGCCATCCCAGGTCAGGCAAGTGTACTGCCAACATCTGTCAGTTGCAATTTAATAAAATTTATTAAACTCATGTTTAGGAGAGAAGGGCAAATAGAATAGTCAAAACACCATTGGCCACTGATCACCCACCCTATAGTTGTCTCCAAAACATTGTTGCAAGCACTAGCTCCTCCCCTCTCCCCCTGCCCCCTGCTGCCCCCATACTCATCTATGTAGTTTGCTTTCTTTTGTCCTTTAAAAACATCCTAATGAAAAAATCTATTTATTTTCCTGAGGGCAGATTATTTAGAAGAAACATGAAAAAGTAGTCCTGGGATTAACATGATCATCAGTCTATTATCAGTTATTGCAGTGAGTTATTCCTGGTAAGGACTTCCAGGCTTTCTGTATTAAAATAGACTGACAGAATTAATAGCATCTTCTGTATTCAGTAACCTTTATTAAACATAAAGGATGATAATACTGGCCTTTTCTGAAAGTAACTGTTGCATGTGCATTTATAGCTCCTTCGCTAAAAATGTTTTGACTTTCACTTCCATATATAAAGAATGTCTGTAGTGGGCTTCATCCTTTGGATTACAACAATGAGAATAGGAGAGAGTTGAGACTTTAGCAAGAGACCCTGGCTTCTGATTCCTCATAAATAAGGATCTACCTAAACTGTACTGGAAGTGCGCTGCACACTGGCTCCTTTAATCTTGCTCCTTTTGCCACGTGTTGTGTCGTTCTCCCCCCCCCCCCCCC